TATACACATCTATTCAGTGATGTATAGATGCAGTCAGTTTAACTCACAGTGGATTACTTTAAACTGAATAGACATGTATAGGTTGTCTTTGAGATGACTATCAATAAATGGTAAGCACATGCTTTCCACACTGAAGGCGCTAGGATCTATTCATGGTAGCAGATTTGGAAAGCTTTCTTGCCAGAGATTTGGATGTTGTTGCCAACCAGTGATCTAATAAAGCGGTTTCATCCACTTAACAAAATATACTGTCCCATTCTTACATTTAAACCTTTCACCTGTCTAGGAATAGGATGACCCTGGTCCTCTGAGGTGTGGAGGTATCTATGCAGGCATCCAGTTTTGTTTCTTGGTTCCATCACCTTCCACTGAGAGACATGTAGTTTTAAAAGGGAGTTTTCAGGGGTGTTCCCAATGCCCAAATGTCCCGATTTACTGCTACATTGGCCTGTTTCTACAGAGGGCCTTTATTTACAGAAAATGCTGATGGTTTGAGAAAACATTGCTGCAGAGAAAAAGTTACTTTTCAAGGATAACAGTACATCTGGACAAAACTGACTAGCTGGTAGCTAGTTAGAACTCCCCAAGTTTCCAGTGCTCTTGGAGCTATGTTTGCAACAGAATAACAGATAAGACTGATTCAGTAAGACAGTTGGAGCCCCCAGTGGCATAGCGGGTTAAACCCTTGTGCCAGCAGGACTGAAGAGGACAGGTTAGAGGTTCGAATCCGAGGAGAGCACGGATGAGCTCTATCAGCTCCAGCTTCCATGCGGGACATGAGAGAAGCTTCTCACAAGGATAGCAAAATATCAAAACATCCAGGCATCCCCTGGGCAACATCTCTGCAGACGGCCAATTTTCTCACAACGGAAGCAACTTGTCACTCCTGACATGAAAAAAATTAACAGTCATGGTCAGAGAACAAGAGACTGTAGTTGTACCATTGTTAAGGTCCCACGTGTGCTTTCATGCCTGTCGAAATCATAAAGAACCAATAAGCATCTGCATAGCCAGCCTAGACCAATGAAATGATTGATATTTGAACACCAATGGAAATGTGTATTCAATTTACTGCCAAAGTGAAAAAAAGGTATGCAGCCCCATTGGGAGTTGCATTCCTGTATGCATGTTTGTCAATACAGTGTTCACTCACTTATTGTGGGTATTCTGTTCCAGGACCACCCACAATAAGTGAAAATCCATGAAATAGGAACACTCCGCCCACTCGAGTGGGTGGAGTGTCCCTACTTCATGGTGGCCTCCTCCGTGCCACCTCCGCTGCTCCCCGCCTCGGAGGTCCCTTTCTTGCCAGGCTGGGCGCCTAAGCCTGGCAAGGAAGGAATGGGGAGCAGCTATACAGTGTTCCCTCGCTGCTCCCCGTGAAACAGCAAGTCTGCAAAAAGCGAACTGCGAAGTAGCGAGGAAATACCTTTGTAGTAAGAAATCCAACTTATGGCTTCATCCTTGCATAGCTACATTGGGCTGTTGAGGGGACTCCTAAGCTTGTGCTTTTGGAGTGCTGGTGAGTCTGTGCTCCTACATCGGTGCTCCTTCACCACTATGTGAATTGATGCGCTGATACACAGCACACTGATCTGTGTATAAGCACACTGATCTGAGTAGCAAATTGATCAAATGCAGAAGTGGACAGAGATCCTGCGTCATTAATAACTATGTAGATGAAGGAACTGCAGCTAGTGTAGCTTAGCAGCTACTTCATTTCAGATCTGGATTCCCAATACTTTTGAGCTTAAAGCAAAATGTTGAAGAGCTCTGATTATAGAACTTCTGCTTCATATCTATTTTGGTCCTTAAATGACCATGCTTTTGGAATTCAAGTAAGAGGAGCTGATTTGCCCATCGCTTCTCCTTGTAAATCATTATTTAAAAGAAACCCTTCCTGATAACTATCTTTCACCTGCTAGATGACATTTTAAATGAATTGTGTTTACATGTCTGAGTTAGTCATCACAGAGGAAATTCACATGCCAGTGGAATCTGCATGGATCATATGAATGATGACAAATAGAGAAGGTCACTCTCATCTTTCAACACTTTACTTCTGAACATAAAGATACAAGCAAATCCATTCTGTCGCTTATGTTCAACACAAATATAAATTACAGACTTGCTAGTATACAGTGATTTATTCGCGCACACACCATACAAATTATGTATAGTGTACAAAGTTCATCCCATTGCATTCAGTGGAGCTTACTCCATAGTAAGTATGTTTAAAATTACCATTACAGCTTGGAAGTTACTTTAGGGAAAATAACATTTTTGTCTGTGCAACTCCTTGTATTCCTAATGTTGTCTTTTTAAAAACATTTCATCTAGAATATATCTGACTAGTGCAAACTGTTTGAACATACCTGGGCGTAGAATTCAAAGGCATAACTATGGTGGTATGGATCAGAAGGCAAAGGAATTTTGTAATAGCTTTGGGATGAAGATACTGGTAATATAAACTTTCATAGATTTAAGGCTAGATTTAAATCTACCAAAGCATATACCAGACTACCAATTTCTTTCTCTTAATAAGTCTCAAAGGTGCTACTAGATCCCTTTTGCACATCCAGGCTTGTTTGTCATTCAGAAACATTTCCAAAAAGGAGATGTCGGTGAATTCATCACTGCTGTACTTAACACTGGAAAAATAGCTTTTGGATTGCAATTCCCATAATCTCTCTAATGCTGGACTTCAGAATCTGTGTTTGTACACACAGTCTAGGCAAGGCATTTCCTGACCTATATGTAAATGCTTTTGGTCTTTTGAGATTTTTCTTTGCCTTCATATGGGTTGCAGAGAAGGAAGGCCAGTCTAAAATGTGCCTTGGATACCTCCAGGGCCTTAACCCATAAACTCATATTGTGATTTATTCCTATCAAGCCAACCCTGACCGGGACCGCCTTCCATCTGGAAACTGATGTCTTCACTGTGGAAGAACCTGCGGGTCACCTACCTATCCACCGCCAAGACACTGCACTTGGACGGCCATCATATTCAGACAACGAGGGATTGCCTGAATATAAGTAAGTTTTAAGACATTTAAAGGTATATCTGGAAGTGAAGCCAAATGTTATCTTTTAATAAAATTTACTTCCCTTATATTGATGTTAGATTTTAAATATATGAGTGGTGACAGCTTACCTCTGATAAAGTTAAAGGATATCTTACAGCTTGCCTGACTTGCAAGGTTGGCGATACAGGCATACAGGTTTGCCTTACCAGTTTTATAATGCAATCTGTAACCTAATTACCTGTAATATAGTGGGAGAATCAAGTAAATATTTGCATGATTGTTTGATAAATTGATCTTAGTTACTGTACTATTATAATACACAGTTTGCTTAATCCCTTAAATACATGTTGGAACAGCACAAAGTCTCTAGCACATACATGTTCTGTAAGGATTCCAAACTCCTTATTGTGAATAATGGTTTGATTACACTACACAAGAATGCTAGGGCACTCCTTCCCCTGGTCAGCAAACAGTTGGGCTATTTGTATTTTAATGTATCTAGCAGTGTTCAATTATACACATCATAAACAAGACAAACATACTTAGACTGCTGTCTAGCATTTTAATGTAGCAAGCATGCACTTGCAAAAGTAGGCACACATTCAGTCAAGAATATAAATGAAACTTGATACTTCTCAGATAGTGGTTCATTTCTGGTATTAAATACACATCCTAGGTTTCATTCCAATCATTAATATTAATAGTTAGCTCAATATTTCCTTATGACTTGATCACCACGACTGATAGCACAGTATACATATTAGGTTAGTTACTTACGCTCTGGTGTCCTATTCCAGCATGTTTCATGCATTACTGACTATGAAGGTATCCCGCACAATCTTTAATTGTTTGAATTCTGTAACTGCCTCTTCATTTGCACTTAAATGAGCAACTAATTGTACCAAAACCCCATTGTGCTACAACAGTGGTTCTTAACTTTCCTTACACTGTGACCCCTTAATATAATTCCTCATGTTGTAGTGACCCCCAACCTTAAAATTATTTTCATTGCTACATCTTAACTGTAATATTGCTACTGTTAGCATTCTGAACCCCACCAATGATAGAACTGGGCCAAACTTCCCACACAGAGTCCCCATGCCTTTAAAGGACTTGCTGGCGTGAGCCTCCCTCCGGCTTCCCTCCAATCTCAAACGCTGTCCCTCGCCCAAACATGCACACCACGCTCCCCTCCTCGCGTGGAGTCTAAGAAACAGCCCTCCCCTTGGCTGAGAGTCCGGCCAATCACAGCGGAGGAGGGCCTTTGGTGGGATTTGCCATCTGTTTCCAAAAAGGAAGAGAAGGACAGGCGGCGAGATCTTCAGCCTTTTCTGCCAAAGGGGCTCCTAAAACCACCAGAAATAGATGTTTTCTGGTGGTCTTTGTAGACCTCTCTGAAACCCCCTGGTGACTCCCCCAGGGATCCTGACCCCCAGGTTGAGAAACACTATCCTACAAGAACCCGTGCATGTGCAGGTGGCAGTGTGTAAGAAGATAAGCATATGCATCAGCATTGGGTGTGTGTAATATCAGTGACCTACTCCTCCAAGGGACCTACAGTCTCCTAGAACTATAAGCATAGGTTCAGTCTTGTTCTGGAATTGCTGAAATTGTATATGTTTACTCTCCTGAGATCTCAAAAGTGTGGGATTTTTTGAAAAAATAAAAACTGGTAATAAATCAGTAGTTGCACTTACTGCTGAAATATGTCCCCCCCCCCCCAGTCCCTCCCCAAATTTCCCAAGTCATTGGTCCTTGGTTCCTCTCTTCTCCTGGAATTGTTTAAATATGAGGAGTCTAGTACAGGACATTTTGAGACTCTTTCCCAGCCCATACAACTGCGTCTTCTTCATCTGCGTAGTTGGAGGACAGTTATCCACTGATAAATACAGAACTTCTGCTTTGTTGCCATGGTAGCATGCCATTGGTTCCTTCCTAACGTTCTTCCTAGGCCTCTGGAAAGGGTGAGAAAAGATGGCAAAAGCAGCATTAGGCCCTGTCTCGGTGGTCCTTACCCGAGAACAGGATAGCATGGGTGCGACTGAACTGGCTCGCAGCCTGCTGTCCGCACGGAGGCTGAGTGTCTCCCCAAACATCCTGGAGCTCCTGTCAATGCCTTGCTTAGAAGAACTGGAAGCTGATTACCGGTAAGGTGTCAATTCTTCTTCAGGAAGTGACCGAATATACTCACAAAACAAGCAATGATGGGGTTGAACTGGATAGCTTTTGTCTCTTTCAATTCTGTGATTCTAATTTGCAGAGGGAAAGAATATGGAGAGAGCATATGGAAAAGTCTGGCTTCTCTGGACTGGAGTGTGGGGAAGTTACAATTTTGGGAATAAAACTTCCTGCATCTCCCAGTTTACACAGCCATTGGTTGCACTGACAATAAGATCCTGGGAGTTGCAGTGCCCAAAAGTAACTTTCCCAAGTCTTCTGGGAAGGTTGAGGTTTCTCTGAACACAAATTCTTCAGCTCTGATCGAGACAAAATTTTAATTACAGCCTTCCTCCATCAAGATTATCTACAGCAGTGGTTCTCAACCTGTAGGTCCCCAGATGTTTTAGCCTTCAACTCCCATCAATCCTAACAGCTGGTAAACCAGCTGGGATTTTTAGGAGTTGTAGACCAAAACACATGGTGACCTACAGGTTGAGAACCACCTTCATTTTGTTTATTTCCTAAATATCTACACACTGAGTCTATGCTGCTGCCACATTGGTAAGACTAAAAATATTCAGGACATAAATTATAACCTGCAATCAATAGATGTTAGGTCATTGGAAAAAATATAACACAATAAATCAGTAACAGCAGAAGAGTGAGCCAGCATAGCATAACAGTTTGAGTATTAGACTAGGATACTCAAATCCTAGCTTAGCTATGTGAACCTATTAAGTGGCCTTGAGCAACACCCAGCACATCTACACTGACCACTTACCTTAAGTTAAGCTAACTGAGGGGAAAGCCCAAATCTTGACACAGGATTCAGGCTGTCTCCCAAGTTAGGGGGAGTGAAGACAGTTGGGCTGGTTCCTAACCAAAACCAGCCTCTGCTATTTTGACTGCCATCCCTGTATTTCCCAGGGTTAAGTGACTCGGGGACACGGGATGGTGGTGTCCTGTCCTCCATCACCCGTGTCACCGCTGACACCCCAGCTAACATACCCTTCGGTGTTCTGGCTGCGGTTAGAGTTCCAATATGCTGAGTGCAATGAGAAGGGAAAGATGGGGGCTTTCCCCCTTCCCAGTTTCCTTTGTGAGCCCAAGACCAGGTCGATGGGATGTCATACCTGAGGTTTGTCATGACATGGAGAGCAGGGGGAAGGGCTGTAAGGTGACTTCCCAGTGGCACCAAACTTTGGCACAGCAGTTGCTACCTTTGAGGCAGTTCAAGGAGTCCCTATCCGGCTGTCATGCAGGCCCAAGCCATCATCTTGAATGCTGAATCAGGGTCTTATTAGGGTCATTGTAGAAGGCTCATATTCTCTCAGTCTCAGAGAAAGGCTAGGGCAAATCCTCTCTGAACAAATTATGCAAATTACCCTGATAGGATCATCTTAGGGTTGCTGTAAGTCATAAATGACACAAAGGTACATAACAACAGGTGAAATAGCAAGACTAAAGCAGAATAAAGAATGGAAGCATAATTTATCCAATCATATGATAATACCAAGAGTTGAGGAGAATGTTGTCCATGAAAGGGCTGTTTTCTGAACACAGTCCCTTTGTCCTGTGCACCTTTTATTGGGCTATCTAACATCACCGGTGTTTTTAAACAACACCAAGAGTACAATTCATTTCCAAAGAGCCTGTGTTTATTAGACCTGCCCAGTGTGTTTTGGAAAGTCCTTGCTCCTCCTTCAAGGGCAATTTAGTAACTATCCTTTACATTCTGAGATGCAGCTGGAGAAGAATTTTTAAGCATAAAAAACTAGGCATGCCTAAATATAGCTACTTAGGGTTTCTCACATAGCATTGTTTGGTTTCAGTGCCTCCCTGTTCCTTTTTCATTATTATTATTAGTCACCTAAGAGGACAGCAGCCTCATTATGGGACAGAAAGCTGGACTAGACATATTTCTGAGTGTGCCCCATAGCTCCAAGCCCGAAACCTAAATATCTGAAACTTTGCATGATCACAATCCATGTAAAGCATTTGTTCTCAACCTGTGAGTCCACAGATGTTTTGGCCTTCAGCTCCCAGAAATCCTAACAGCTGGTAAACTGGGATTTCTGGGAGTTGTAGGCCAAAACACCTGGGGACCCACAGATTAAGAACCAATGCTTTACATGGATCGTGATCAGTTTCAGATATTTAGGTTTCAGTCTTAGAACTATGTTTAGCATCTAATGATTGCCTGTTGTAAGCCGCCCTGAGTCCCTCTTTGGGGGTGAGAAGGATGGGATATAAATGCTCGAAATAAATAAATAAACCACTGAAATAAAAGAATAAAGGCTTAGAAATGACTCATGAGAAAAGGCTATTTGTCAGTGTCTTTGGTAATGCCTCTTTAGGATTTTATGACTTGAATCCAACATTTTGGAATTGCACAGAGAAACATACTAGTATTATGTGTTCAAGTTGTTCACTGTGAGGGAGAACACACTGTGAGGCCATGACTTTCAAAGAGACATGTACATCACTCTGCTGACAAGTCATTTTCATTTCATCATTAACTAGCAATAATGTGTCACCAGTAACACCATATGAAACAAATATTTGGACATTTCAAATATAAATAGCAACTCCTACTGTGATTGGTTACACAAGGCATCTCTGTGATGATGATACACAAAATACAGTTTCATAAAGTTTTTCTACATTCCTTCAAAGTAAGAATACTTCCTTGGATTCTTATTTTCTTATTTTATTTTATTTTAGCTTGTTTTATCTCTAACGGCATTTGCTTTTTCAGAAGGTGCTGAAAATGTGCCAACCACTGAAAAAGTAAACTTTCCAATTTCTTAAAATCAGTGTGATGGCATATCAGAGTTGGGCTCTTGGAGGCTTTTCTCTCTAGTGCTTCATGATTTTACTTCAGACTTGTGCAGGAGAAATGTGTGTTGTGTTATGCCCAGTCTGACATGAGTTAAGATTGAATGGTATTTCTGAGCCATATTCAGACGCAGGAAACAGCTCCATATCTCTTGTTCTTAAAATAGAGATGATCATGTTGCTATTTGAAGATTGTTCAGATGTGACGTGTTTAACATTACAGGAACACTCATGAGTTGTAGAAATGCAATATGGGAGACGTTAACTCAGAGGGCTATTTAAAGAGTCTACTAACACTTGTTCCGATCTTGTCTTCCCATAGTTTTGCAGTAAGAGTTCCCCCTGTGAATGAGCTAAGTTTAACTCGGGTGACGTACGCGTTGACTCAGGCTTATCCCACAGATAACGTATTAATCACCTGCCATGAGCACCTCTTCTCTGGTTGCAAATCTAGTCTTGGTTAGAATAGCATTAACTTTCAGGAATGTTTTAATAACATTATAAGCTTCAGTGAAAATAACAAATTATATAATTATACCAGTTTATTCTTTATCCATGTAACTGGGCTTCATTTCTTTTGACTACAAACAGTTCTCCATGGGTGTTTCATGAAAATGGAAAATAAGTCTTTCCCATCACATCCTAACTAGTGATTTGACTTGGAGGTGCCAAAGATAAATTCTGGTAGCATCTCCATGCAATGAATATGTCAACTTAGTCCTACTCCTTCCCAAACACAACAAAATTCCTAATTTTTCCTTTATAGTAATAAAGCAACAATCCAGAAATATGGATTATTTGTTAATAATTTGCTTTAGAGCACCATCCAGCCAACAATGGTACATCCAGGCTTGATAAAAAATGGGCAATAGGAATATTTATTTGCAAATATGCTTCCTTTAAATTAATAAGGCTTCCAAATAAATGTATTTAGAGTTAAAGTACATATAACAGGAAAGTTGATAGCTTTGCTGATCATCTCTCTATTGTATATCGAGTAGAATGTCCTGCTGTGTAGAATGTTTTCTTTTGACAACCCAATTGAGCCCAACCCTTCAATTCCTGTCTTAGGATGCCAGTGTGATATCCATTCTCATGTGTTTTGTTTTCAATTTGTAGGCCTAGAATATCTGACAATCTCAAAATAGGTTTTACAATCTCAGATCATGCCACTCAAACTGATATAAGTGAAATAGGAGATCTAAAAGAGTTTATGGTAACAACAAGAACTTTGTTACAGGTAAGTTGCTTTCTGTCCTGGATTAGGCAGAGTTCATTAAAGTGCATATGAGACATTGTGATCATTGATGTCAGATGGTCCTCATGAAAGAATTAAACACCTGTTTTCTTTTGAAAGCATGGTCATGTTTCCATTGGCGTTTATTATCTGTCTTTCCATTGGTGATTCTTTCTTTTCAACCTCTGGATTGCATATCTAAGGAAAAACCAAAATCACAGGGGTTGGGACCTTGTTACCCATAGAACAAGAACATGCAACGATGACTGCTGAATGGTAGACTTGACTTTGCTTGCCCTTCCTCAGCCCAGCTTCCAGGGCCTGAAGATGGACTGTATTAGGGTGCATATACACTACAGAATTAATGCAGTTTGACACCACTTTAATTGCTAGGGTTCAATGCTCTAGAATCATGAGTGTTGTAGTTTTACAAGGTCTTTTGTTTTCTCTGCCAAAGGGTGCTGGAGCCTCACACTACAACTCCCAGTATTTTGGAACATTGAGCCATGGCAAAGTGGGATCAAATGGCATTCATTCTAAAGTGTACTGTACAGACAGACCTATCTATGAAGATTAGAGGAGGGGAATATGCGTCCCAGAGACTGCAAATTTTCATTTTTGTGCTCCTTGATGATGTCCTCCAAGGTCTCTCAAGTCTAAAAGAATTGTGGGGCAACTAGAAGCAATTTTTAACCCCAAAAATATTCTCAAATTCAATAAAACTTTAGATTTCAATAGCTATTCTTACATTTGACAATGTAGATGTATAAGCTAGCATTTGCCTATTATACTCAATTGTCTGTCCTTTTTGGTGGGATGCATGTCCTTTCCCCTCTGAAATGTATAGATTTGGGTGTCTATGTATGTGAAGGATGCTAAATTGTAATTGTGCTTGATATCTGTCATCGGGTATCATCAAATCTTCTATTTAAAAAAACCTATTGTGGATGCATGTTAACATCCCTTTCTTTGTATTTTCAGTTTGCAAACTCAATCTCCGATGACTTTGCAAGGTATAAAAGTGTCCTCCAAGCACAGTATGAGGAAAAAATAAAGGAGCATGCATTCAGTCTCTGGCTAGAAATTAATGACAAACTGAAATATATTGAGGACATTTATAAGCAGGTACAGGTTCAAATATCCTAGTCATTTAGTGTGAGTTCCTCAATTTTATTCTGTTGTCACAAAACGTTTTCTATATGTTCTCTATAAATATGTGGCATTTAGGCTACTTAATCTGTTTGTCCATGTTCCAGTCTCTGTAGCAGTGAAAACAAGCTGGCTCCAGCTTCTGCATCTTCTCCCCATCAGATGTTTAAAAACAGCTATCACGTTGCCTATGAATCTTCTGTTCTCCAGACTAAATATACCCTGTTCTCTCAATTATTCCTCAACGTGCTTGGTTTCCAGACCTTTGATCATCATCTTGCTTTTTCTGGATATGTTCTATCATGTTGATAAATATCCTTCTAGATGCACTGTAGGGTCCTAAAGGCATTCTGCCATTGGCTGGGAACTCTTTGTTCAGAGGAGCAATTTAGTAAGCTTATTCATAGTTTGGAAGAGTAACTTTTGGGGAACTACAACTGTCTGATTCTGGGTGTTGCACAAAGAAGTAACACTTCTAAGCTCTGCAATCATAGGCTTCAAAGCTACCTTTGACAGGTAATGTATTTAAACATTAGATCTGGATGGGAAGTGCTTTTTCAAAATGGTACATGCTGTTCATTCCATGAACAGAAGATAGTGCTATTAAAATTACATAAGGTATATGAATAGACCAGGCAACTTTTGGCTCATTGACAACTTTCCTTCTTGCTGGGTTTCTTTGTTTATTTACATTGCTGAAATATATTATACTGTTTGGGAATAAACAGAAGTTGAGGATCGCTTGCAGTGTGAGCATATAAATATCTACTTGAAAGTAAGTGCCACTGAATTCAGTGTGGCTGACTCCCAGGAAAATAAACATGGGACAACAGCCTTATATACCAAGGGTAGTCTGCTGCATTAGTTGAACTTTGCAAAAGCTAGAAATTGCTGTTGCATTTCTGTGCATTGGTGTGATGTGAGTTTGTACTATAAAAATAGAGAGAATATATGCCTGAAACGTGGAGGCAGCAACAGACTTTGTATTTCTAGGCACAAAGATTACTGCAGATGAATACAGCAGCAAGGAAATCAGAAGACATTTATTTCTTGGAAGGAGAGCAATGACCAATCTTAATAAAATAGTGAAGAGTAGAGACATCACACTGGCAATGAAGATCTGCATAGTTAAAGCAATGGTATTCCCCGTAGTAACCTATGGATGTGAAAGCTGAACTGTAAGGAAGATTGAGCAAAAGAAGATAGATGCTTTTGAACTGAGGTGTTGGAAGAAAATTCTGAGAGTGCCTTGGACCGCAAAAAAGATCCAACCAGTCCATACCCCAGGAAATAAAGCCCAACTGCTCACTGGAGGGAAGGATATTATAAACAAGATGAAGTACTTCGGCCACATAATGAGAAGACAGGAAAGCTTGGAGAAGAGAATGATGCTGAGGAAAATGGAAGTAAAAAGGAAGAGGGGCAGACTAATGGCAAGATGGATGGATGGTATCCTTAAAGTGACTGGCTTGACTTTGAAGGAGCTGGGGGTGGCCACGGCCGATAGGAAGCTCTGATGTGGTCTGGTCCCTGAGGTCACGAAGAGTCGGAAGCAACTGAAAGAATAAACAACATGTCTGAGCCAAAGCTGTATAAGTATGAAACCCAGACACTTTAAACTTGGCATCTATAAGACATTTGTACAGTTCTGATAGTTATAGTTGAAATAATACTTTTTCCATTTTTATTGTTACTTTTAGTAAATGTTACTTTTAGTAAATAATAAATTTCTGTTTAGGATAGGCCACTTAGATGGATTTTTAAAATGGTTTATTAAATTTTAATACTTTAATAATTTTAATCTATATAAATAAAAATGTAATGTTCGTTTGTGATACCATCAGAACTCAAAAACCACTGGGGGAATTGACACCAAATTTGGACACAAGACACCTAACAACCCAATTTATGTCCTCCACTCAAAAAAATTTATTTTTCATTTGGAAATTGTTGTTGCTGGGATTTATAGTTTACCTACAATCAAAGAGCATTCTGAACTCCACTAATGATGGAATTGGGCCAGACTTAGCACACAGGGCTCCCATGACCAACAGAAAAAAACTGGAAGGGTTTGGTGGACATTGACCTTGAGTTTGGGAATTGTAGTTCACCCACATCCAGAGAGCACTGTGGACTCAAACAATGATGGATCTGGACCAAACTTGGCACGAATATTCCATATGCCCAAATATGAAACACAGATGGAGTTTGGGGAAAATAGACCTTGACATTTGGGAGTTGTAGTTACTGGGATTTATAGTTCACCTACAATCAAAGAGCATTCTGAACTCCACCAATGATGGAATTGAACCAAACATGGCATACAGGACTCCCATGACCAACAGAAAACTGGAAGGGTTTGGTGGGCATTGACCTTGAGTTTGGGAGTTGTAGTTCACCTACATCCAGAGAGCACTGTGGACTCAAACAATGATGGATCTGGACCAAACTTGACACAAATATTCCATATGCCCAAATATGAACACAGATGGAGTTTGGAGGAAATAGACTTTGACATTTGGGATTTGTAGTTACTGGGATTTATAGTTCACTACAATTAAAGAGCATTCTGAAACCCACAAATGACAGAAATGGGGCAGACTTCCCACAAAGAACCCCCATGACCAACAGAAAATACTTAAGGCCATCCAATCCAACTCTCTTCACCGGGCAAGAAAATGTAATCAGAGCCCTCCTGACAAAGAGCCATCCAGTCATAAATATAGATAGATAGATAGATAGATAGATAGATAGATAGATGGATGGATGGATGGATGGATGATGGATGGATATGATTCTCTCACACACAAAGAGATAGAGTACCATAGATTTGAAAGAGACCCTTAAAGAAGGACTATGATATGTTGCATATTCCAGAGTAGGCAAACCAGACACTCTTCACATCAACACTGACAAAGAAACAACAAGAAATACTGTTTACTCACAAGCATAAAGGAATTACATAGATTAGAAACCAACACTTTCTCATTACTTTATTTTCCAGATCACCAGACTGGGCCACAGCAACGCGTGGCAGGGGACAGCTAGTAGTAATTTAAAATTGTAGCATGCATAATCCTTCCTTCTCTTGCTTACAGAAAGAAGTCAAGATGAGGCATAGCTTCCAACAGCAATTATGCGATGCACTTGCAATTCTTAGAGCACACTATTCAGTAAGTTTTAAAAATTTATACTAATGTGTTGTAACCTTCGATGGATACCAAAATCCATGGATGCTCAAGTCCCATTATATACAATGGCATAGTAAATTTTCAAGAAATTGGTTGTCTTGAAATACAACACTCAAATTCAGACATGACATAAGGTTCCAAAATAAAACCTCTTGTGGACATCAACTGTTATTGTTGTATTGTGGTTTGATTGATTTGAAGCTCTTGGGGCATCTCCTCAGTGTTCTTCCTTCTTTAACAGAAATATTTTCGTATAGAGCAAGAAATATATGGAGCGGATGAGGACTCAATAGGCAAAAAGATGGAGAGGTTAAGGAATGAGCTTGATGAGCAAGCTATTACAATCCTAACATTAGAAGAAGAGCTGCAGGAGTATAAACGCCGGGAAAAGGTATGCTGTTTTACAGAGTCTAGAAAATATACGTTGTATGTATGTATTTGTTTATGGGAGCCAGTGTGATGTAGTGCCTTAAGTGTTGGACTATTTTTATCTCTGGAGAACAGAATTAAAACCTCCATGTGGGCATGGAAACTGATTGGATGTTCTTGGGTGAGCCACACTTTCTCAGCTACAGAGGAATACAAAGGCAAACCCCTCCAAACAAATCTGGGCAAGAAAACCCCCATTATAGGGTTGCCTTAGGGTCTCCATAAGTCGGAAATAACTTGAAGGCATACAACAACAATCTATATAAATAAAAATGTAATGTTCGTTTGTAGGATTAACAGAACTCAAAAACCCCTGGGCGAATTGGCACCAAATTTGGCAGCAAAACGTATACTAATCTAATCTATGTCTTTCAAACAAAAAAATCTTTAAAAATGAAGGGAAAATAACTTTAAAATTTCCCCCCCCCCCCAAAAAAAACCTAACAGAGCATACGTAAAAGCCCCCCTCCCCAGCACGCGAGAAGACTGATGCACCAATTGTTGTGAGGGAAGAGAAGCCTAGCCACGGAGTCCCTTTCCAGGCAGGAAGGCAGAGTCCTCTTTCTTTTGGGGAGGGACTGAGGAAAGGAAAAAGGGAAGGAAGGAGAGACAGAGGGTGTGGAGGCTTGGCGAAGCTCCTTGAGGCCCAAGTGGCCCCCAGGTAACCCTCCCCCCAAAACGTGAGGATTGCAATGCAAGCCTGCCTGCAGGAGCAGCTGCACACACACCTCCCGCCCCCTGGGACCCATTGAGTGAAGGGAGGATGCAAACCATAGGAAAACCAGCAACTCCCCCACTTGTGCTCCACATCCCCCCTTCCACCGTTTCATCCTCCTCCCCCACCAACCCCCCATCCCCCTTTAAAACACCTTACAAACTGCCACAGAAGGAAGGGAGGGAGGAAGGGAAAGAAAAAGAAAGGAGGGAAGAAAGGAAGAAACTGACTGGTGAAGAGAAGGATATGAATGGAAGGAAAGGTAGAAGGAAAGAAAGAGGAAGGGAATGAAAGGAGGCAGGGATGGGAGAGGAAAGGAAGGAAAGGAAAGGAAAGGAAAGGAAAGGAGAGAGGAGGGGAGGAAGAAAGGCATTCTTCTTCTTCTTCTTCTTCTTATTATTATTATTATTATTATTATTATTAAGGAGTCTAAATGGCCATTTATCAGGAGTGTTTTGATGTGCTTTTCCCTTATGCCAGAAAGAGGTTGGACTGGATGGCCCTTGGAGGTCTCCCTACTCTAGGATTCTATTACTATTATTATTATTAATAATAATAATAATATTAAGCAGAGTCTCTATGGCCAACAGTTAGGAGTGCTTGGATTGTGTTTTTCCCTTATGGCAGAGGGAGGTTGGGACTGGATGGCCCTTGGAGGTCTCTTGCAACTCTAGGATCCTATTACTGTGAATTCCTCCCAAACCCCATCCAGTATTTTCTGCTGGTCATGAAGGTTCTGTGTGCCAAGTTTGGTTCAGATCTGTCATTCATGGGAGTCTTAGTGGTCTGTGGAAGTCTGAGCTGAATAGGTTGAAGTTACTCCAAATCCCATCATCCGTTGTCCATACTTCCCAAACTCATTGTTTTGTGATTAATCAGTATGCTTTAATTATGTTCCATTTATAACAACAGAAATACAATGTATTGTCGAAGGCTTTCAAAATAAATACATCTTGCATATCAGATATTTACATGATCATTCAGAACAGTAGCAAAATTACAGTTATGAAGTAGCAACGAAAATAGTATTATGGTTGGGGGTCACCACAACATGAGGAACTGCATTAAGGGGTTGTGGCATTAAAAAGGTTTAGAAACACTGCTAAAGACATTCTATAAAATAAATAAAATACGGTCCATGTATTTATGATTAACATAAATAAAAAACCACTGGGCGAATAGACACCAAATTTGGACAAAATGCATATATCAGGCTATCAAGTGACCATCACTCATAAAACACTAAAAAACACAGCAGAAGAGACTTAAAAAGCCAAAAAATAAAAAAAATACTTTACAATGCATGTGCAAAACGACATATTTACACATATACACAAATATATACACACACAAAATACATATACACAGACTGGGCCACAGCAACGCGTGGCAGGGGACAGCTAGTTTGTTTATATATTTATATGTGACTCCCCTCCTTCCCATGTTATCCCCACAACAATCTGTGAGGTAGGTCAGCCTAAGATTGACGGTAGTCCAAGATCATTAGGTGGGATACATAGCCCAGCAGGCAGGCATGTAGCCGGGGGGGGGGGGGCTTGCGGGACTTCAGCCCCCCCCCCCCAATTCTCAGGGTGGTCTGTGAGAAGGCCTTACTGGTACGTGGCACAGTGGCATCCTTGTCCGCGCCTGGTCCCTCGGTGCATTCTCTTTCCTTTTCGGTGCCCCTGGTTTCAGCCTTCGATGCCAGGAGAGGAAGGGGAGTGTGCCGACCTACTATCGGTTATTGACTATCAGTCAGTAAATTTCCTTTTGACTGTGTTAGCTGCTGTACCAGTAATGACATGCAGTGTGGAAAGATCATTTTCAACCAGAGAGTGAAAAGTGTATCTAAAAGTTTAATGACAGACCAGAGACTTAGTGGACTAGCAATGATTTCCATCCATCGGGACATCACTATCAAACCAGAAAAAGTAATTGGCAAAATGGCAGGGGAGAAGAAAAGAAGACTGTTGCTGTAAAGTAAAAAATAAGTCAAAAAGTATTCTAAACATTTTGTTAATGAAAGCAAATAAATAACATTTATTATTTGAACTGTTATGTTTATTCATATCATGATCTGATCACCATGCTCAATATATCCCATATGCATGGGGGTATTGGGATAATGATACAAAAGGTTTGCTAGGGTAGATCCTCTCTCACTCAGACTCAGCCCCCTGCCCCCTGAATCAAAATCCTGGCTATGGGACTGCCAGCAGGGACTTGTATCTGGATTGTTTAGGTCCTGCAGTCCAACAATTTAAACCCGATGAAATAATAGCTTCGTGCTCTTGCCTTTTCATCTAGCCATCCCTGTTGTCTATGCTAGGTAAACATCTTCAGAAGCCACTTTTATAAACTAGTATTTATTAGTTATATTTCTTTCTTTTCATGAAGGAAGGAATGATTGTGGTTTCTCTTTTCTGCACTTTATCCTCACAGCAATTCCAAGGCAAAGGAAGGGTACTGTGCTCAAAATCACCCAAGAGTTTCATAGCCCTGCAGGGAGTTGAAGCTCCAAGGCCCCTTCTACACTGCCATGAAATCCAGATGATCAAAGCAGATAATCCACATTATCCGCTTTGAACTGGATTATATGAGTCTAAGCTACCATATAATCCAGTTCAAAGCATATCATCTGGATTTTATATAACAGTGTAGAAGGGGTCCAAGTCCCAGGCCAGGATCAAAATGCTATAACAGAAAGCCTATGTAAAACATAGCTGACACGGGAGGTTGCTCCAAATACAAACATTTCTACAGGTATTGTTTTGGTACTGAATATTATAAAATGTGAAGAATAATTTATTTTCTAATTTGGCCCTGGGTGGGATACAGATAACCATTTAAAAATGTATGCCTAAGACGTTGTTTGCCTGTTGTAGTTTTTTTTTTTTACTTTTCACTGACACATTTCCCACAATTCTTGACACATTCATAAAGAAAGCCGGTCTTTACAGTTGACAAACAGGGTCAAAAAGTATACTAAACATTTTGTTAATGAAAGCAAATAAATAACATTTATTATTTAAACTGTTATGTTTATTCATATCATGATCTGATCACCATGGTTACAAACAGGATAGGCTTTATAGGTTTGATCTTAAGTTGAATTTGTATGTAAATTGGAACAGGTACATTTTTTTAAGTGTAACTCCAGCCATATAGATAGAGCTTTGGATAGCATAGGGAAAGGTTAATGCCTCTGTGGTGTTTGTTTGGCGGCTTGTGCCCCTGTTCAGAAGATTTCACCTCACTTTCTGTCCCTGGGGGGGGAAAAGGATTGGTGATAAAGCTTCAGTTGAGATACCTTTTCCCATGATATCTCTTTCGGGAGTGAATTTTCCTTCTGAGGGGTAGATTTCTCCCACTTCCTGTTGTCTCATGCCTGTTCTTAACTATGAGTCATTTCTAAGTCAGATGTTTGTAACTTGGGGACTGCCTGTATAAGACATGCCGTTGCTCCACATATATACATTTATACAGATATTGTTTTGGTTCTGGTTCCCATAAAATGTGAAAAATAATTTCTAATTTGGCCTGGGTGGGATGCAGACAACTATTTAATAATGTATGCCTAAGGTTGGCTGCACCTTGTAGGGCTTTTCTCTAATGCACTTCCTTTTATTTTAATTCAAGAGGGAAGCAGATGTTAACAGCTGACACACAGTATACATCAGTCTGTATATATTTATTACTACAGTGTGGAAATACCACATTTTTGGACCATAACTTCTAGTCTCTCTGAACCAACAATTCTATTGGCTATGTTGACTTCAGGATTCTGGGAGTTACACTACAAAAAAAGCACTGTTTCATTATCTGGGTGGATACCACAAGGGGGTGCTAGAGAGAGATGGATACGGGGGGGGGGGGGGGGAGTTGAAGGAGGAAAACCATTTCCACCATTTTCACTGGTTACTCTCCCTCCTCACTTCTCATTTCATACATGAGGGTTGTTTCCACAATGGGGACACGGATGGGGGGAATAACAGGAAAACAGGTGAAATGATTTTACTTCTTCAACCCACCATCCACTCCCGCAAAATGGACAACCCCCCCTCTCTAGCGCCCCCTTGTGGCTTCCACCAGGATAATGGAGCAGTATCCAAAAATGGAACAGTACCCCAAAAATGTAACATTTTCAAGTTCTCTTTATTCCGGTAGTAAGTACAAACTTCCCAGTACTGGTAAGAAAGCAACAAACCTAGCTTTAGGGAAGTGAGTAGGAGGCACAAAGAGAATGG